GATCACACGCGGTCCCGCCACCCACGCCTGCACACCCCTCACGCTTTTCGTGGCCTCATGGGGAGCTCCACAGAAGGCCCCAGTGGCTGTGATCACATGCGTCCCCGCCACCTATGTCGGCACACTCTTCACATTCTTCGTGGCCCCCTGGGGAGCTCCACCGAAGAGGATACGCACCACTGCGGTACCCACAACTGCATATGCTTGGGTCCTTCGCCAGGATCATTTTGTCGTCGTCGTCGTCGACTTCGTCGTTGTCCTGCTTATCCTCTGGCACTCCTAACGCCTTTACCAGGTGCGCCTCGTCATGGTGGTGATCGTAGTCCTCCTCCTCCTCCTCCTTTCCTCCTCCTCATCCTGTGTTCCTCCTCGCATCCTCCTCCTCCTCCTCGACCGGCCTCCTCCTCCTTGCCCTTTCCCTCCCCCTGCTCATCCCGTCTTCCTCCTCCTTGCCTCTCTTCCCTCGTCCTCGCCATCCTTCGTCCCCGCGGCGATCTCCCCGCGCACAGGACGGGGGATCCTCCCATACCGCCTCGGCCAGCTTCAACGGGTCCGGCGCGCACTGGCAGCTCGTCCTCGACACGTCGTCCCTCGAACCTGGCGGCGAGTACCTGCTCTGCGTCGACTTCGACGGCCCTGGTGCCCAACCCCGCCACCCGAGGGGGCAGGTGGCCGCCGGGGCGCGTGCCCCGAGGGCGCCCGACTCTGTGACTGCGTGCGCGCGTGGCCTCCGCAGAGGGGCGGCGCACGCCACTGAGGCCATCCTGCCGCGCCAGCGCCGCGGCGGCTTTTTTGTGCAGGCCCCGCCACTCCCTCCATTCTTCCTTCTCCCCTCTCCCTTCTCCCTCCTCCTCCTCCTCGTCCTCCTCCTCCTCCCTTCTCCCTCCTCCCACCTTCATGCTCCCTGTCCTCCTCCTCCTCCTCCTTCTGCTCCTCCTCGGGGCTGCGCTGTTATGTTTCGGGTGTGTGCGCTGCGTGTTCGGGTCGGAGGTGCGGCACCCGCAGCAGCACGCGGCGCTGGCGTGTGTGTGCTTCTGTGCCGCAGCTGGGGGCCTTGTCCGTGGGGGGGGGGGGGGTCGTCTTGCAGGTCTCGTCGCGCTCCTCCGCGGGGGACCTCCTCAGACTCTCTCACGTGGCCCTGAGGCCCTGGTGAGCAGAGCAGCAGTCGTCGCAGTGCGGCCCGGCATGGTGTTGGGCCGTCCTGGCAGCCTGGCCGACCACGAGCAATTCGGCAGAGCATACGAAGGGTGAGGCAGGCCCCTTCTGGAACCCCTCTGCCTCTCCGCAGCCCCCGCTTGGAGGCGCCAGAGCGCCAGGGCTTCGCTGTCTGCTGGCCCTGCTGCCGGGGCGGCTGCATGGCCCGGCATGTGCAGGCCCTCCATCCGGCGTCCTGCTCCTCCTCCTCCTGCCCCTCCTCGTCCTCCTTCTTCTTCAGGAGGCCGCTCCCTCCTGAGACCCAAATACGGTAGGTTTGCGTCGTGTCGACCAGCGGCGACCCCAGCGCGGGCGTTCAAGGTTGAACGCCGCCGGCGGCCCAGAATCGATCGATGTTGAACGATCGGACGTTGCGGCAGCGGCCGATCGTTCAAGGTTGAACGATCCAGCGCGGTGTCAGGAACCAACGCTGGGGTCGGCACGACACGAACCTGCCGTACAAACTTTCGGAGGTCCGCACGGATCTCTTGGATCGTCGCCTGCTCCCCCCCCCCCGGCGGCGCCTCCGGCGCTTCCCCTGCCGCGTTCCCTGCGCCAGGTTGGGGGGGCCCAGGGCCGACCCAAGAGATCCGCGCGACACTCCGAGAGGTTTTTTATTTGTGCTGGAGGAGGAGGGGCAGGGGGAAGAGGAGGAGGGGGAGAGGAACGGGGAGGATGAGGAGACGGAGGGGGAGAGGAAAGAGGAGGAGGAGGAGGAGGAGGAGGAGGGAGAGGAGGAGGAGGAGGAGGAGGAGGAGGAAGGAAGGAGGAGGAGGAGGAGGGGGAGGAGGAGGAGGAGGATGGGGAGGAGAAGAGGAGGAAGAGGAGGAAGAGGAGGAGGAGGAGGCCCGCCCTGTGCCGTTTTCACTGGTCGCCCGCCGCCCAACAGACCCAACTTCGGCCTCCAGGGGCCTCGTCCTTGCCACCCGTCCCTAGTGCACGTCTTGTCTGTACTGCACGACAACGTTTGCACATGAAAGCGGATACACGATCTTTTCTGCGTGCGACTGGTGCATCCAGCACGCAAGCACTGTATCCAGGCACCAACTGCTGTTGCAAGCGCTATTGCACCTCTCCCCGCGGACCCATCTGCGCCAGACCCACTCTTCCTCGCCCCTTGGGGGGGAAGTGAGAGGGGGCAAGTGCTCGCAGAAGGCAGCGGGTCTTCTCAGAAGCCCTCGCGCCATCTGAGACGTTTTCCCTGTCTTCGGGGAAGGCTTGGAAAGCTTCACCTCTCAGTGAGCCTCCTGAGATGGCCCGCCCCCTCTCACTTCCCCTGGGCGCGCCGTCGAATTCTCACTTCAAGCGGCGGGGAGAGGTACGGACCTGGGCTTCGTGCCCGCCTCGAGCAGCACCGTGTGGATGAACCCCCTGCGGCCGCGGCTGCGCGGGGCTCAGGGGTGCGGCGTCGCGGCGCCCGCCCGCCTCTTCCGAGGGCAGGGGATGAGGGCGAGGATCGAGGATCGGTCGTCCTTGTCGCCGTCGCAGTCGCCGTCGCCGTCGTCGTCGTCGTCGTCGTCGTCGTCGTCGTCGTCGTCATCGTCGGCGTCGGCGTTGGCGTCGGCGTTGGCGTCGTCGTCGCCGTCGTCGTTGTCGTCGCCGTCGCCGTCGCCGTCGTCGTCGTCGTCGTCGTCGTCGCCGTCGTCGTCGTCGTCGTCGTCGTCGTCGTCGTCGTCGTCGTCGTCGTCGTCGCCGTCGCCATCGCCGTCGTCGTTGTCGTCGCCGTCGTCGTCGTTGTCGTCGTCGTCGTCGTCGTCGTCGTCGCCGTCCCTCCTCCTCCTCCTCCTCCTCCTCCTCCTCCTCCTCCTCCTCCTCCGTCCTCCTCCTCCGTCCTCTGCCTCTGCACCCGTGCGGCCGCTCTGGTCGTCGTCGTGGTCGTGGTGGCGGGGTGGCGCTGGTGCCGTCGTGGGCGTGGTCGTCGTTGTCCAGGCCTCTCAAGACTCCCGGGTGGGTCGCCGTCTCCACGGCGGGATGCGGCCGGACCGCCCCGCGGGCCCGCTCGGATCGCGCGCCCGCCCCAGGAATGGGGGCTGCAGGTCGGTTTTCGGGCGGGGAGGGCCAGCATTGGTGATTGCGAACGTTGTTTTGATGAAGCTGCCACTTACGCCATCAGCTGTGATGCACCCGATGCAACGCCTTGGAGCACGTGTGCGCGAGCCGCATGCCAGCGTAAGCGCTACAGTTTGGTGGAACCGGCACCAGCAGGAATCGTGGGCGGCCTAGAAGGGGATGATGAGTACGGGGGCGGGTGAAAATGATGGCGGGATCCATTATATCTCCCAGATCTCATGGCTCCTGGCCTTCTTTTAAGGCGTCCCTCTGTCCCCCATGGGCCGCGCACATGCCTCAGGCCATGATTTGCGATCCCCCTCTTCGACGCCCCCTCTTGGACTCCCCCGAAGGCAGAGTGGGAGGAGGTCCTTCAGAACTGATGCCTGGCCATGGCCTGGAGTGTCCTGGCGTTCAGGTGGACGCCGTCCCGCGAGGCTAATGCGGCGGCGGTGGCGGAAGATTAGATAGTAAACCACGGGAGCTTCCGCTCGTGTTGGACTTGGTGGATATCGGCGAATAGCGCTCAATAGCGCCAAATACCGCAAAATAGCGCCCAGTAGCGCCCAGTAGCGCAGAATAACTTCCAATTAGCGTCCGATAGCCACCAATAGCGCCCAACAACGCCATGTGAGGGAGATTCATTATGTCCGCTTTGCGCGCGATTGGGCGCGCTCTTGGGCGCCATGGGGACGGCCAGAAGCTTCCGCGAGTTGCTTTATAAGGAAGGTCGGCGTGGGAGGAAGAACACCCTTCCAGAGTAGCCTCCTTGGGGGGTAGTCATGGCCGATCAATTTTTGATGCTGCCCTTCTTCCAGTTTGCCTTCTGGATATCAGAGGTTCTAGAGGTTTCGGGCACATTTTGGGTCTCCAGGCGCCCCGTCGAGAAGCTCATTCTTGTTGTAGCTGAGCTCGTCGTGAGTATCACTGCCTCTGCCAGTGCTTCTGTGGCTGCCCTGTTGCTTTTTGCATACCTTCTTCCTGGGTTTTGTGCTTCCTGTGATGTGCTTTCGGGAGGGCGGGAATAGCTATCATGGCGACCGAGGCCATGGACCATCCAGAGCGCCGTGGCCCAGAGCATCTCTTTCGACTGTGTTGGCAGCTGCAGTACGGACGCCGTTGGTTCTACCAACGCCAGTGAGTCTCCCAATGCCACTCGCGAGTGGAGTGCGTGCGGCTGCAGTGAGGTAACCGTCGCGTACCTTGGCACATCGTGCGCCGAAGACACATGGGACAGCAACCTGGACGCGATCAGCGGCGTGCGCACCGAGGTAGCGCCCATTACTCGCCAGGGCCGGACCACCGACAGTTACTGGTCCGCCATCCTCAACGCCAGCCAGCTGCTGCCTGGCATGTACTACCGCTTGTGTCTCGACCTGGACGGGAGCTCTTCGCAGGCCTACTTCCGAGAGGTGGAGAGCGATGCCGTGTTCATAACGCCCGTGCTTGCGGCCTCGCGCGGCATCATGCTCACCAGCCAGTCGTACACCTATGGGCAAGTTCTTACTCTCGTGGGCTCCCTGACTAACACCAGCGGCGCAACACTATACCTTGCCACAGCGTGCGAACTCGGAAACAACAGCAGCTCGAACGTCGACCAGACAGGCTTGAGCACCGCTCCGGCCGAGATGCTCGGCACCGCCGTGGACTTCGACACCCGCGTGATCGTCTTTACTGCCGCAGGCGAGCCCTCGCTGGTGGCCACAGGAGACGCGTCGGTGTACCAGGTGATCCTCGACACCACCAGTCTCGTGGCAGGCCTGTACTATGCAGTGTGCGTCGACCTCGACGGCGCAGGTGCTTCCTACAATTTCTCCGACGTCGGTCTCCGCGTCTTCGCCTCCGACATCGTGGTGCAGGGCCCAGTGCACCGGGAGGAGCACGCCCTCCTGCCCTTCGCGTGCAGCCGTGGCTGCACCACTGCTGCGACCGCCTTCCTGGCAGCGGACTGCAGCAGCGAGGAGGACGCCACAGCGGCTTCGCCGTTCGCGAGGCTGAGCTGCCCGAGCGCGCTGTCCGCCGCGGCCTCCTGCACAGCACCCTGGGTGGTGGGCCTGGACACGAGCGCGCTGAAGCTCGGCGTCTCGTACGCCCTCTGCGTCGACATGGACGGGGCCGGCGGCGCCTTCTCGGCCGGCGACACGGGCCGCCGCGTGTACCTCAGCGGCCTCTCGGGGCTGGCCGAGCACCCCGCGTGGTCGAACGCCACCGCGCTGGTGGTCCGCCTCTCCTGCAGGGTCGGCGAGTGCTCCGGCGCCATGCGCGCACACCTGGCGACCGCCTGCGACCCTGCCGACACGGACGGCGACGCGGAAGCGGAGGCTGGCATCAGAACAGGTCAGGGGGACCGATACGGGGGGATCTCGGACGGGGCGTTCCAGAGCGTTCCGGAACGCTCTCAGAGCGTTCCGGAACGCTCTGAGGAGGCCGCGGCGCCCGAGACATCCTTCAGAGCTGCCAGATCTCGGAGATTCTCTATTAATCCTCACCCGACGTTGTCCTTGTCCTGGTTTCGTCTTAGGATAGGCATAATGGAGGGGAAGCATCGACCCTCCATCGCCCGTTGATCGCTGATGGAGATCCGATAGCTCCACCCTGCCCAGGGGCGTGCGGATTCAGCGTCGGGGGCCTATCGCCGACCTGTCGGCGACGCATCGCCGATGCCAGGTCGATGTGTGCCCCCCCCGTCTCCCCCGTGCCTGCCTGATGGGCCTTTTATCCACCACCAACCACCACCATAAGCTGGAGGGGGGAAGGAGGTGGAGGAAGAGGAGGAGGAGGAGGAGGAGGAAGAGGAGGAGGGAGGAGGAGGAGGAGGAGGAGGAGGAGGAAGTGGAGGAGAGGAGGAGGAGGAGGAGGAGGAGAGGAGGAAGGAGGAGGAGGAGGAAGAGGAGTGGAGGGAGGAGGAGAGGAGGAGGAGGAGGAGGAGGAGGGGAGGAGGAGGAGGAGGAGGAGGTGTGGTGGCGGAGCTCCGCTGCGACCAAGGTCAGATGATCGGTGGAGAACATTTGGGGTTACCTCCTCAATCGCGCCTCGGCTCCCCACAACTGGGGGGCGCCAGCGACGGTGCCTCTCGGCGGCCGTCAGCGCACGGCCATATTCACGAGGCGACAACTGACAGCACCCCTGCGTGAAGTAGTTTGCCACTGACAGCTCCCTCCAGGATCGCAGTCTGTCCTGGAAGCTCGCACGATTACTGCTCTGCCCCTGCACTCGCACACTCAATCCACCTCCTCAGCATCCACACCGACAGGAATCTCACGCAACCCGTATGCCCTCAGAAGCCACCTCACTGTCATTGATCACGATAATCAGACGTCCCCACTCCGAGCGAGACAACCTCCTTGCCACGCCAAAGGGAAGGATAGTACTGATGTCGACCCTCGCACAGCACACATGGATGAGCGCTCTCTCCTCAGCAACACCTCGCCCCCAAAGGAATTGCAGTGCCTCCATGAACATGAAGACATCACTAGAGCATATCCCCTCGTTGCTCGGATGCTGCAGCGACGTAAGCACATGACTATGAGCCTGCACCATTCCACATAGAGTTGATCCGTCACCCTTATCTCGAACTGATAAAAAATGCGCTCCATGGCTGCTACATCGATAGCGAGACAAGTGGCACCAACAATAAGCCACAACCAGCTGCTGAACAGAAGTAGCTGCGACAATAAGACCTCAAGAACTGCGGAATGCCCCATCCCAAGACGACGACATACCAAGCAGAAGCAACACAATACGAACGACAACCACGCCACAAGCAATCAGCAAAACATGACGACTGAGCCTAGGTGTTTCCCGAGTCGGGGCTTCCCAGGACTTAGCAAGCCTATGACGACGGAGCCTAGGTGTTCCCCGCCAGGGGCGTCCTAGGACTTGCGTTCTAACTGCCTGCGTTCTAACTACATTGCGGATTGAGCATCTGCTGGCCCTCGATCTCGAGATACCCCGCAGGACGCGGGCCAGTGAAAACCTTGCAGCCCATGTGCTCATACAGAAGAAACACGACCGTCTGCTCAAGCTCCTTGTCCGCCAATGTGACAATCAACCGACGATCCTTCGAGCCGAACATGTTTGCGGCCCCGAACAAGCGAACGAACAACTGCGCCTGAATAGACCCAGGAGTAAGATTGTCCAAACACTTCCAGATGATGCTCTGCTGCTCGGGCGTGCCCTTGCCCACCAACATCAGCGCTGCTGCTGCGAACTGGAACGAGTCGGGAGCACCGAGTTTGTGGCCCTTCTGCCCCTTGACCCTAGGCACAGATTCTTGTCATGAGCCTGCTTGGTACTCACAAACAACGGGTCCTTAACCGTCAAAGCAAATTGCTGCGTAACTGCTGCCTCCAGCATCCTATTGCGCTGCGTGCCAGTCACCCCCAACTTCAAAGCTGCATCTGCCTTCTTCTCAGTCGTAGAAGCCAATGCCACACGCTTGCTAACCTGCGACCCCTCTGCATCACCACTAGGAACACGTGTGGGCTTCCCCCCACCTTGCCAAACATAGCACCCCACTGACCGTTCAGCACAGCAGTCAAAGTACAACAACCTGGGTATCAAGCGGACGGTGCGAACGAAGATGCCACTGAGCCACCTCGTAGCTACCGAAACGGATTTCACATATTTCGCAGGTGTAAGGCGGGCACGTAATATGTGCATGCTGGACCGCGGACCCCCTGGAGCGAGGACATTTGCCGGGCTGGAAACTCTTTTCCAGATGAGTGCTAGCATATATTTGAGTAGTGTAGCAATTCCCACATAATATGCGCGCATTAGACACAGTAGCAATACGCGATATAATCCGATTACCATGATTCGGTTGACGGGAGTTAGCCTGATGCAGCAATAGTTGCCTCCTGGTCGGGAACGACGCCCCACAGACGCCCTCCGACCCCCCAAGGCTGAGATCACATTTGTGCTCCAGAGACCCGTCAGGGAGCGGATGAGGAGGAGGAGGAAGCCCAGGCGGAGCAGACCCACCAGCCCCAGGAGTAGGAAAGGAAGGGGAACTTTCGAAGCCCTCGAGGGACACCTGGATCTCAGCCTCAGCAGGCGGAGCTACCTGTTTTCCTACGTACTCGCTGTCCAGAACCTGAGGATTAGCCGCAAGAAAGGAAGACCCGTCATCCTCCGAACAAAAAAAAGCGCAGCGCGGAAGCTCGACACATCCTTGGCCACGTCAAGGAACTCAGCCACTCGAGCAAGCTCCAAGAAATCAGACATGAACTGCTGCCACCGTTCACTGGGCTTGCCGATGCGATATCCCTCCCGATCGAGAAGCTTCGACCCCTCCCAGTCCGAAGTCCCCAGCAAGGCGCCAATACGCTGCAAGTTGCTAAGCGGCCACCTCACAAGATTCAGAGCCCACTTAAGCCTCTGAGTTTGAAGGCGCAGAGAAACAGGACACAAGCGCAGTTGACAGTGCAGTTCCTGCGCCGACCTCGCCTTGTAGTCAATCTCTCCCTCCACCTCCTCCTTCAGACATCCCTCCCCCTTTCATGATACGCCTGGCTAAGATCGCCTGAGCACCGTCCAAGCGTGCACAGCAGTCCGAGGTCACGACCATGGACAGAAGCCCCGAGGTAAGCGCACCCTCAATCACGGCCTGGTACACGATACTTTTCTGTCTAAGGTTGGTACAGCTATGCCAAAAACGCCTCAAGAGCCTAAAGTGTTGCCTCGCCTTCTGAATCCTGCGAGGATATATTCATCACTGCACCTTCCGTCAGAACGCGCAAACGGCCCCAGATAGCGACAGCTCCGGTTGACTCTCCCAGGAACACAATCCCCAGTACTGAGCTGCCAGGGCCCCGACTGTTTATCTGAATAACCGGAGAACGCACGCCTCGGAGCCACGTGAACCCCCGTCCAGCAAAGTGTACCAAGCTCTCTTGTTTGCCTCCAATCAGAGCAATACCACCAATAGCAGCATGGTCTTGAAGCCGAGTCAGGTTCGCAGCAATTAGTCTGACAAGCTCGCCACACGATCGCACAAGCTGGGTGCGACACAAAACGTCAGCAAAGCTCGTAAACGAGATGTCGATCGCACGGCCGGGCCAGGCGCACAGAGCAATGCGAGCATCCTCATCACCCGAACAGTGCTTAAGCCACCGGAACGTAGACGCTAAGCCCAGGACCCTCCTCCCCCACATACTCCAGGTTTCGCAATAAAAGGGAGGGGGTCTGAACCCTCCAAGACAAGCCATTTCAGACCCCCCCCCGTGGGAGAACCCTTCAAAACATCGTCCCCAGACCCCCCCAGGCCCTCCAAGATAGCCTGGAAGAGACCCCCCCCCCCGAAATGAGACCCCCCTCTCTTTATTACGAAATTTGGAGTAATTACCAGGACACCAGTGGTAAGCCCCAGGGAACCATATAGGAGCAACCGTATCACCAGGTAGAGTACCCGCCCCAATCTCCACCTCTAGCACCCCATCCACGCATTCCAACAGCATTTGCCCATGATCCAGGCGCTGCGAAACAGCTCATCCACAAAATCGGTGGCATGCTGCTGCACAAACGTCTTGAGAAGCCAGTGCTCGACACTGTGGAACGCGTTCGTCGCGTCATCGAATCTTAGAACAGTAGCTCAGCTTCGCTCTCTCAGACGCTCCCAAGATAAACTCTGCATCAGCACAGCACCCTCTCTCCGCCTACGTCTCAGGTAGCCGTACGTGTGACCTCTTGCAGCGTGCTGGTTCAAGTTAGGATTTGATTGCCACAGGTATTTATGGTATATCTTCCCAAAGGTATCAAGACCATGTAGCAGCCTAAGCCCCTGACAATCCACTTTGCCCTTGCTAAGCGTGAGCGCCTGACTACAATGCCATATCAAGGGGGCCTCTGAATGCAGCCGAATATACATTAGTATGTATACCAAACACTAGTTAATAGCATTCAAGTCCCGGCTCTCCTTATCCTCACCAATCCCCGCCCGATCTTGCTTCTTGAACTCCTGAGGCCAAAACAGCATCCTCCATATATTTGCAGGAGACGACCACTCTGGCGGGGTCTTGCGCAGCGTAACTCTCTTGAGCGCACCAGAAATCGGGCCATAATCATCCTTCGCAGCCTGCAATGCCTCCGCCATGTCCGTATCGCAAGGGTCCCGCGTGAGTCTTTCATCGAGCGCCTCGTCATACTTAGCCTCCGTGGCAGCAGCGCCACCCTCAGGACCAGGCTTAGCTGGTTTTTCATGCCACGTGTTCGCGTCACGAAAGGTGCGAGGAGCAGAGTATAACCTGAGCTTCGGGCCTAGGTACTTGCCACTCAGCCTCCTGAAAACATCCCAGACAAACAAAAAACACGCGCGATCACTCCATGCATCTTTCAGCT